GACAATTGCCTCAATGCAGTAGTTTTATTACGTATACTTGTTCGCAATTATTTTAATCGTGCATTTTGTGAGGTGAAAATGACTAAGAAGATGTGTGCCATCGCATCATTATTTTCTGATCATCGTGCTGTATTGCATAAATAATGATAAGTGAACAGTTTTTGTAAAATAGAACTTAAGGAAATAGCACAACTTTTGTAATACTATTAACAATAAACAAGTCATTTTTTCAGTCTCACTTTCCAAACACTTAATGCTTTACAACAAGCATAGTTTTAGCATAGGCCAAAATTCATTTAATAAGGAAAAAAATAGACATGATGACAGAAAACATTTTATCCGTGCGTTGTATTACATGAACTGTTTCAGGAACAACGATCAAACTTTCCGTCGCGTTCGCGATTCACATTGTCATATATAAGAAGCAACTTATTTTTAAACTACTTTGTAATTCATCGAAATACTTTTAAGGCGTAACAAATATCAAATAATGGTAAAGTCGTAATCAACGAATTTCACAGTGCATTTAATTATTATGTTCGCAAAATTTCTTTACAACAATATTTTTGATTTCTATATCCAAAAGTTGATCATTAGTTCACCTATGCTTCAAATATCTAAGAATCTTCAAGTAAGAAGAAGAGAGGATATCGCCAGAATGTGTGTGGTCAAGAATTGAAAAGAACTGATCATCTGAAGGATTATAATCAAATACATACAGGGAAAAAGAATTCAGTCGGAAAAGTAATCTGATTGATGTAAACGAAAGACTATTCAAATGTGATGAATATGTGAAATGTAAAGAACTCATTGTGTGATTACACATTGGAAAACATATGGAAGCAAAGGATTCAGTAGAAAGTTGATTTATCAAAGAAATATGAAACTTTTCAAGCGTATTCAATCAAAGAAGCAATTTGCGGGGACATCAACGACAGATACGATGAAGGACCAGCTCGATGATGTGCTGACAGCGGATAGTATCTCTGTACTAATAAAGAATATAATTTCATTAACAGGATTATAAATTTACCAATTATTATATCAAATCAATAAGAAGATTCAGAGATATTTCATTACTTGAATATAGTATAAGGGGAAAGACCATTACACATATTTTCTTTCTTTATTACGTAAAGTCAAATTGAGTGTTTAATTAATGAAGTCATAGAGTTACAATTTTTTGACAAATGATTGTCCCATAATCTCATCTCAACATAATATGATGGCATATTTTTTATCATTGTTATTTTTCTGTTTTGAAAGAAATATTGCATTTTGTAATACATTTAATGTATAATAAAATATTTGAGGAGAAAGAAAAACATTTATATGTTCCGATTCTATGATTTCCGCAGGTTTATGAAGCATTAAAAACGATAAACTGACCAGTGAATTTAAATTCACAGTTCAAAAAAGCAAAATACCAAAATAAAAAATTAGCATGGAATTCTCGAAAAGCAATAAGTCATCGGAGAAAAAATACTGACAGTAACCCTCCAAAACAAGACCAAAACATGAAAATTTAATAGTAAATTTAGTGCGAAGTGCAATAGAGGAGAAATGAAAAGACAACGGTGAACGAATATTGCAAAAATGATATACTTCAATTTTTTTGTAGTTTTAAAAAAATGAAGTATAGAGTACTTCAATTTATAGCAACAAAAAGCTTTTGAAGAAAATGAAATGCACAGAAAGACAAACAATCAAATGCAGAATTGAATTACAATTAGGACAGAAAAGAAGTTACAGAAGAAATTATGGATTTAAGCAAGCGAATAAATAGCCTTTGGAAAACTCGTTACAATGCTATTTAGTATGAAACATGCAATTTCAGAAGTATAAATTTGTTTTATTTCAATTTCTTTCGTCTTCTATTCATATTTCAATCTTCTTTAGCAGTTTACTAAAAGAAGATTGAAATAAGAATAGAAGACGAAAGATGCTTTTGATATATTTGGGAAGATTTCTATTTCTTACCAGTGAAAAAGAGTAAATGCTTTATGGGAAAGCATATATTCCACTTCCATTATCGAAGTGATGAATGGAAAATCTAAGAGCATGAGAAAAAGTAAATAACAAAAGTAATAAATGTTAATTTTTTGCACCATTTCCTTGCTGTCATTTGTTTTTCTTTTTATTCATGCGTAATCCAATTCGGAACGAAATTGAAAGTTTAAAATTTTGAAATGTTTGAAATCAATAGAGGAAAGTTGAGGCGAAGAATTTGGTAGAAAAACTTCTTACTTTCAAAAAAGCTCAGTTTTGTTGTAATGTTCGAAAATTGGCGAGCTTTGTTCGACGTTAGCTGAAGAAAGTGAAATAAGAGAATTAACAGAGCGCTTCCTCGCCTTCAGTCTTCTCTCTCTTGCTGATTGCTCAATTTCCGAATTTATAAACAACATCCCGTCCTTAGTCCAAGTTTCGACGATCCACTCAAAAGCAATTTGTGTTTTTTATTTCATTTTATCTATCAATAGACTATAAATGATAGATGTTTTAGATTAAAATTTATCGATAGATTAATCAATCAAATGAAACAGACGGAAATACGAAGATTTGATAAGCTCCGTTTTATTAGTGCTAAAAATTTCAGTTTCAAAAAGGGATGGACCGACGCAATATATGGAATTTAGTAAAGGAAAATCCTCACGACACATTAAGTCAACAACCTCCGTCACGATCCCTTTTTGATTATGATGTAATTGCTTGTATATTCAATGTTACTTAATCACTTTAACAATCAAATTTGGGAAAACTTAGTTGAAGTGAATGAGATAGGTAGCATGAAGTGAATTATGTATAAAAAGTAACAGAGGAAAGTTTGCTGTGCGCATACGATCATTGGTAGAGAAGTTAGATCACAATATATTTTCAATCTAACTTCTCTATCAATGATCGGAGACAGGCTCGAGTTTCTGGAAAGTTAGTATATCGATTTTGACAAACTAAAGATGCATTTTGTTGTTTGATCGCATAATAAAGGGATGATTTCAAAGCTAATAAAATCTCAAAATATGCAAAATCTTTATTTGTAGATTTGAACAAACCAACATATTAAATTAAATTGCATCAGTTTTAGTTCAATCGACAATTGGTGGATGCTGAAACAGTAGCTGATGCAGCCGAATTACCGCCCGAGAAACTTTCAGAAATACTTGACGAAATGGTTCGTGAAGAATCGGAGAAAAAAAATACCATGTGAGCTTAAAAATATTTTTTGAAACAGTTATGGTAACAAAATCAGTTTCAATGATCTTAGCTGTCATTTTTGAATCCGTTTGAAAGTTATTCATTGCTTACTTAAAGGTCTGGAATTCATAGAATTAGTAGCAAACTGATGAACAGACTGAAAAGTGGACATTCCGAAAGCAACAAACTGCCTGTGGATCAGAAAGCAAAAATTCCTGAATTAGCGTCACCCACCTTGAAAACATCATTGTCACACCATCACTCAACGACCAAATCATCAGAGCAGCCGATTTTTATGCTGGATAAACAATCATCTGTTTTATCTTCTTCACCACTACCAACGACATCCAACTATCGATCATCTTTTCGAGAAAATGAAACAGATACTAAATGGTATCTGTTAATTTCTAAAAATTGGAGTTTAAATAAATAATACAAATTATCAACAAAATCTATTATTTAAAGGCTGAATTCCGAATGAATTAGAATTTCACATTTGTTTAGTGCTTATTTATTTCGTGGCGATTCGCTCTACAATAATAAACCAACGGATTCCGGAACTGCAAGCAGTAACGTTGAACGTGTTTATGTCTACGATCCGTTTTGTCCACTCCATGGTTCTAGACGTCGCATGATTAGCAAAAAAACAAAGATTCGCGATTTCGATTATCATTTGACGAGTATTGAATCAGTGGATGATACTGAACCATCAGGAGTTATTTTATTCAGGAAAGGAATCTTATTCGTCAATTTCAAATTTTTAAGTTGCAAAATAAACAAAGGCAACACTTGATGAGTTTAAGGCAGATTTCAAATTCATTTTTAGCCAAGGTTTTGCTGCTAAGTTAATTCGAAAAAGGCGTCGTGCTCTCTTATCCGGTTCCGAGAAATATCGATCTGACAAAGCAAAACGGAAAATACGAGTGAATTTATGGATCGTTAGCTTGGCATTTTTATTTCTCTTTACAGCTTTTCATGGATTGCAGAATCTGCAGTCTTCTATTAACGGTCATCTTGGAATAGACAGCCTCTCGTACGTTTTTTTATAATTCTGTCCTTAGACCGTATTATTTGTGTAAAAGGAGCATATGGGCATTGTCGTAAATTACAAACTTACATGACGTTTTATAAGAGATTCAATTACAATTTCAGAATCTTCTATATCAGTTTATCACTGTCATACTTAATTGTTCCATCATTCATCTTGAATCGTCTCGGTTGCAAGCGTACGTTAATTGCATCATCAGGAATATTTATGATTTATATGCTCTCAAATTTTCTACCTAAGTAAGTGTTACAAAGTTTGAGAATGTAATTTGTCAGAAAATCAAAATATTTTATAACATTAATCAATTGAAATAATCCAAGTATTTTTGTACTATAGAAATTTGTACTGCAAAGATTGTTTTCCAGTAGGTCAAATTATACAACAGTAATTGTTGCTTGCTCTTCTCATATCTACGGGACTATAAATAATGTATTTTGCTTGTTAAATGATTATAAAAAGTTAAGCAGTTGAATTTTTAATCATTTAAGTTTCTTTTATCACAAAAAGAATGTACTCATTGTGAAATAGTTGCAAAATATTACTTACTTGGCTTTCCTTTTCCAAAAGAGTCAGCCATTATTACTTCATTATTATTTACTGTCCTCCTCATTGTCACTTCCTTAATGACTAATATCAGTACTTCGATACATTAATTCCAGTACCGTATTGACCGACTTTATTAGTCATAATTTTTAATAATTCCTTTTCAGCATTCATAGAAGAACAAACAATAAATATTCTAACAAATATTTGATTGTGCTGTAACAACAAAATAACTTCTATGATATAAATCGCGTAATTTACATAAATCTTTTTTATAGATACTACTCGCTTATTCCGGCTTCTATGCTTGCCGGATGTGCTGGAAGTTGTCTTTGGGCAGCAAAATGTGTATACATTTTGGAATGCGGAACAAAATATGCGCAATTAAACATTGAAGCACAAAATGTTGTGATTATCAGGCATTGATATTATTATTATTGTAATAAATCCACAAGAACTGAATATGGATTACTTTAGGCAAAAAAAATGAGTGGTGATAGAGGTGATTAAGTACTATAAGCATTGTAATTATAATTTTGTATTAAAATGTATCAAAATCTCAGGTTCTTTGGTCATTTCTTTATGGTACTTCATTTGGGTCAAGTGATTGGTAATCTCATTTCATCCTTCATTCTGACAGCTGCAACTGGTCATCGACAGTTAAAAGATGAAGTGCAGAAATGGTACTGTATTGTTTTCATCCCATTATATCAGTTTTCCCTTTGTTTTTCTATAAAAAGTTGCTCTCCGTTCTGCATTACGTTTATTATAACAATCACCAACATGCAAATTTAATTTTTCAAATTAAAACTTTGAAATTTCATTTTGTTTAAATTATTTTGTTTTCAAAAGTGAAAATTGATATTGATTATATATAAATTTTAGCTGTGGTCACTCATTTTATGATAATGTATCATACTTAAGCGAGCAAGCAATCGAAAATCTACGACGTCCGGCGCAAAGTGTTTATTTGTCTCTTTGCGGCGTATACTTCTGCTGTACCATCGTTGCGCTTATGATCGTACTTCTTTTTCTAAATTCACTAAGGAAAGATGAAATTGCCAGGTTTGAATGTCACTTTTTTGTGAGAAGACGTGAAGTATCGATGAATGATAGAAATTACGTCAGTAGTGTTATGCAAAATTACAAGAAAATCCACGTTTCTAGATATGTTAAGCAATGTAAAATAGAGTACATCCACATAGTTAAAAATGCTAATATATCAACTTAGCAGGTTAATTAATTAATCAGTAGAAAAGATATCAAGATTCTTATGAAGTTATTTCAGATAAATGACCACATAATATGTAACACCAAGGAAATCTCAGTAGTTTTAAAATAATTTTTGATAAACAATTCTTAAAGTCTTTTGTAAAAACTTTTTATCGAAAGACGGAAGTGAAGTTATTATTAGCTAATAAAGTTTGAATGGAACGAAAATATCAGAAAAGAGAAAATGAGTCCAACTTCGAAAATAAACGAAATTTGGATCGATTCTTCTCTTGGCCTAAATTGGAGATATTAATATAAATTATTATAGGTTATCAAAAATAAATGTGCAGTTGAAAATTTTGTGGGCAGATACCAAACATTTATATTTTCGAAGAACAATATTGCAAAAATTAATTTTTTCGTTCGAATTTTTGAAAATAAAAAAATTATTGAAACAAAAGTTCTGTGAGCAAAATTGCCTGTAAAATTCAAAAATTACAAAACCATTCAGTGAAATTGTGAATCGTTACAGATTAAAGGCACCATTCCTCTCAACAGACATTTGTAAGGCGATATTTCGGAACCTTATCCATCCAAAATCTTCACTATTAGTGCCGTTAACGCTTTTCAGCGGTGTCGAGCAGGCATTTATCGTGGGGCTCTACACAAAAGTAATTTGTTCCGTCTTACAAATTGATTTAATAAATTTTTCTTTTTGATTATCAAAAATTATATCAGTAATGATATATCTGATGACATCATCAGACATCGTGATAGTCTTCCTATTTTCTCGACGAGTGAAATTTTCTTAACAAATAAAGTTAATAAATAGTTTTTTTAGGCCTACATTGGTTGCGGTCTTGGCATTGGCCAAATTGGATTCGTGATGACAGCATTTGGTGTAGCAGATGCCATATGTAGTCTGGTTTTTGGGCCATTAATGAAGTTGTTCGGGCGAATGCCTTTATTTGTTTTTGGTGCTGTTATCAGTATGCTTGTGTCATTAACACTTTTGGTAAGTTTCATTTCCGATTTCGATCAGTAAGTCTAACTTAGAAGTTATCCAAATTATACATTTGTTGGTTTTCGACTTATTTTTGACCGGTACTTTTGGATTAATATCGTCATTTTTGATTCTTAAAAAGATGAAATTAGTATTTCTCTGAAGAGACATCTGCGGATTATTCCAAATAATGAACCGATAACATATGATTCAATGTCAAGCCATTCATTTCAGTTCATTTCCTGTTTATGATATCACCATTTCCAGATTTGGCCTCTGAATCCCGGTGACACATCGTTATTCTATGCTATCGTTGGTGTCTTAGGCATGGCTGATGGTGTTTGGAATACTCAAATTAGTGGTACTTAATTTGCACTTGTTAATTCGTCAATAAATAATTGAATCCCGTCTTTTAGCTAAACTTTTGACATTATGTTCAAATATAAGTCAATAACTGATTTTCAGACCCAAAACTTATGGCAGTATGTAAGAACTAACAATAAGGACCACAGAAAATCATACATAAGAATTTCATATCTTATTAATATGATTTTAAAGAGAATAAAAAAAGAGTAGAAAAGGTTGAAAAATAAAAAATCGAAATTTAATTATAGGATTGTGGATAGCACTATCTTCTAGTCAGCTAGAAACTGCATTTGCTAATTATCGTTTTTGGGAATCAATCGGTTTTGGTCTTGGGCTTATTCTTACCCGTTTTACGAATATCAGTCAATTTTTATTGATTTCATTAGGAATTTTGTTGGTTGGAATGCTTTGTTATTTGAGCATCGAATTTTATGATGGTATCAGCGTAAGTGCAATTTTAATTGTCAGACAACCGGAAATTTATGCTATGTTAATTTCTTAAGACGTTCTAATTACCACTATCCTCGGCTTTAACTGCTTTCTTCGATAGTTTCTAACAATAGATCTAAACGTTTTGCTTTTACCACATACACTGCTTCATACAATCAAAACTTCATGCAATACTCAAATGGGCCTGAAATTCAACTAATTCGGCGTTTGTTTACTATAAATTTCTTCAATATACAATATCATGTTTTTTCAGCTATATGCTAGGCGGATGGTCGGTATGTGCCGAATTAGACGAATAAGACAATTTGGAATTAAACCACTTCCATCGATGGAAACATCATTGATCAGTGCAACAAGTGCGCCAGAGAAAGTATAAGAAAATAAAATCGTAATGTGGATTAAGCAAATAATATCGTTATAATAACCATTAATAAACTTTTATCAACAAAAGATTACTCGGAATTTCAACAATTGAGAAAGTGCTTATAAATATAATTTTGAAAATTTCAGGACAATAAAAATTTAGATCTTATTTTATTTGATCTTGTAACGAATAATTTAAACAAAGCAATCTACGATAAAGTTTTATCAACTGAGTGAAACATATTACACTTTCGAAACATTATCACAAGCACTGATACGTTATAGTTTATAGTAAGAAATATGAATAGCTTTGGTAAGTAATATTCATGGTTCTTATCATAAACATAATAATTAAGGCAAACTTTAGCTTTTCCGATTTTCAATCAATAATTGAATTAAATTACTTTGATTGTCAACGTCACAAACCAACATAAATGAGTGCTAATTTGGACCATTCCAGAGTAAAGGATACTGTTAATTTAATAAAAATAATCCAATTAACTATGAAAAATGTGCTTGGTTTTTCAATTTCTGGAGAGTGCATCTTTTTATTGGATATTATTCAGGCCTTTGAAAGTCATAAGGATACGGCAGGAACTATTTCAATTCATCCATTCGTTAACTGGTAAATTGAAACCTTCTTTTTTAACCTACAAGTAAATTGAAATGACTCCTTCATTATCTCAAAAATTATTCGTTCCAAATTGCTTACATAATAAACTAAAAATAGAATTTAGTATGAAAATATATATTAATTCTCTTAACTACGTATTCTTTCTTTGTGACAAATAAGGCCAACCTGTCGAATTAATTATATATTTCAATTTTTCTTTTCAGTAGTTAGACTTGAGATAAAATTATGAATCAGTCGCAAATAGATAGCTATTCAGGTGCACTTATCTTTAAGTTATGGATTTCTTCTACTTACTGATTAGGCATATATTAGAACCATAAGTATGTTGGACAGTAAATACATATTAAAAAAAAACACATCTACCAACTATAAATTCAGTAATGTAACAGTAGAACTATAAGTTGGTGAATAAAGTAAACAAGTATATAGTTTATCATAATGAATTTTGAGTGTTAATTCTATTTAAATAATTTTGGGCTACCTTAACTTAACTGATTGCATAATTTAATCTATCCATTTGTTAAATTTTTTTGTAGTTAAGCAAATAGCTAATAAGTATGCAAACAATTGGATATATGTCAAACTCTTAGACGTGTTGTGTGTTGTCAGCAAATCAAAGAGGAGACAACGACAACTCAAGAAACCACTCATTACCTAGAAATGACTTGAGATGTAAAAAGTTGCACAATGACTCAAAGGATAAATTTAAATTCAAAGTGAACAGTGGTCAGACTGTTGGAGTGTTGGGTTGCGGTTGTCCGGTTGTCCAGTTGTCCCGCTATTGAAGTTGTCGTGAGTGGGAGATAGCACTTGCCGGAAATTTCAAAACGAATTAATATGTTAGCTCTGAATTATGCTGCTTGCAACGGCTATGCTAGTGATTTTACTGTGACTTCTAGATTATACCGCCTCTTATAGTTATCGATTCGATCAAATCAAGCTGTAAATGTAAGTGAAGTAATGTTCGCTTCAACACTGGATCATACAGAAGCATTCCTGAAAAGCATATGTTGCGACCAATGGTACTTACTGTAGTTAATCAAACATTGCTTAGATTTCTTGTTTCGTAACAGTTACACTAATTTTCCAGAGAATGAAAATTTCATTTTTCTACAAAATAATATTTAATTATATTATGAAATAATCGCCAGTTGAATTTTCATAATTTTAACAGATTTTTGTGAATAAAATGTCTGGAATGAAGTCTCACCGAATCATCATGAATTTTATAAATTTCAGTCATCAGCTATCGGATAAGTTACAGTTCATTGGATCATCTTGCAAACATGTTTTCTGCTGGTAAATTTCTTATCTAGCTCTGAAATAAACCTGGAAATCATCCGGATTATTATTTTACAACTTGAAATTTGAAAATTTTAGCGTTTTGCAAATTTTCGGGATTTTCACTATTCAGAAAGAGTAAGTCCGATTGAAATAGTTTTTCAAATTGATGAATAAAAGAAAAATCTTTTCACTACCTAAAATCAAGACGCTTACTGAATGTGATCCAATAACTCTCAACTTTACCATTTGTTGTGACAAAATGAATGATATTCCACTGCAGAACTGATTCTTTCGACCGAAAAATATTAACTAGGCAATATCACTCATTAGTCGGAGTTCTCCTCTCAGCAGATAATAATATTTAGTTGATTCACTAGTCTCTTGTTATGACAAAGTTTTCATACTTCACATGATAACTTCTGATGCTCTTGCTACCTTCTTTATTTTGATACCTTTGAAAATTAATGAGAAGTCGAGAAAGGTCTGAAAAACTTCAAAGTTTACATATTTCAATTATCCCAATAGAGAGATTAAAAAAAGGTTAAAATTTTATCTCAATAAATTCATGCAGGTCAAATAAAACATCTATGGCATATTTCAGGACATGTATCAATGCAATCTGTGATAGAAAGTCTTTTCCGTTATGTCCACAATGTTTATTGCCTGTTGGATTTCAGCATGTGAAATCGGCGGCTTTTGCTGATCAGCTTTTTCAAAGTCTTTTGTCTCTGAAGGAAGCTCTCGCTAAAGTTGGTTCTCTTGCTCATATAATTTATTCCACAACAGAAAAACTAAAAATAATATTTTGGAATTAGATAATTTAAAAACATTAGTAGAAAAAATTATTCGGCGAAAATGAGGTGGCGAGTGTTAATACTTGGTCATAATCTTGAAGCGCTAGAGATTGTGTATAATATCTTTATATTCAAAATTATATTGTTTAACGGCATTAATATCAATGTTTTAATTCTCGATATATGCTCAGTTGAAGAATACGACATAATTGGATAATATTTCAGTTCACTGTTTACCAATGTGATCGACAAATTATGCTTAGCCTAATTGAAACAGATGAACAGCGAAGAACAGTAGAAGAGTTTTGTTCCACGCAGAAATATGCTGAAATCAAAGATGATGTTAGTCATGCAGCCGTAAATGAGCAATTAGAAGAGTTACTATCAGAGCAAGTTTTTGTATCATTTAGTTTTCCTCAAAAATAAGTTCATTGTTTTGTTAAATTTAGTTAAAATATGAATTCAATTTCTAGGATTGAATTTGCCTGATTTTCAGCAATAGTAAAGAGCTGTTTTCAATAACAACTTTGATAATCAATTAATTTACAGTTCCACACCAACTCCTGTTTCGAACGATATCTTGGGCCTCGTTTCGCTATCAGATAATGTTACACCATTAACGCAAACAAAAGATACTATTGTTGCTGGAACTTCCGTTCAAAATGACATCTTGACTCAACAAATGCGAGTTTATAATGAACCAGGAAGTTTTCAGTTCTTCAAAGAACCAGCAAGAAATACTTTTGATAGAACCGTGGCAAAGAAGAGGGTAATATATTTTCGGAGTCATACTTTATTAATCTTTATAAATCTATTGGTCAACTTTTCTATTAAATAGGTCTCCAAAACGGTTCATTCACTTCATAGGTTGCGTCACTCTGGTTGTGACACAATATGTATTTCGAGCACGATTTATAACAATTATACTACCAAATTTCAAGATTACATTCTTTACAATATTTTAAAATCTCCAACATTAAAATGTCTCTGATCAAAAGAAATTTTCAGTTTAATGATTCGGAAGATAGACTAAAAAGTCCGGGTGCCAAAAATTCAGATACGATCCAATCAATAACGCCAACAGCGCAAAATTCTCATAAATCACCATCTCAACGCTACGAATATAATCTAGTAAATGCGGCTATACGTGGATCGAAAAAGAAACTTCTGGAAGCTTTAAAGGTAATAATTCATGTTGTAGCATAACAGAACTGATACAGTTGAGGATTGCGATATAAAGGAGAAATGGATTTGATGAGGAGTAATCTTGAATTCACATTCGTTCATTTGTTTAATTATAGAATGGAGAAGATGCCAATGAAAGTGATAATCTCGGTTTGACGGCACTTTATCATGCTGCAGCTCATAATTACACCGAAATTTGCAAAATTTTGATTGAAAATGGTGCTCTTATCAATGCACATGGTAGGGTGTAGTTTTTGAAATAATTTTGTCAAATTAAGGTTAAAAAATCAAAATTATTTTTGACCTTCTTGGCAAATTTTATTGAAACTAAATAGTTTGGCATGAACAGCATAATAGATCGATCATACACGGGATGAACGAGCAGTTCTATTATCTGTGGTAATTCAGTGAATGTCAATGAAAAATCATAATTTCTAAAAATTTAACTGATCAAATTTGACGTAGGCGGCGAGTTATGCGAAACAGCACTTCACGCAGCGGTACGTTGGCAAGCTATTGATGCTATCGAATATTTGTTATCGAAAGGAGCAAATAGACAAGCGCGTAATTTAAAAGTAACTCTACTTTTAATTATTTATTACTATAACATAGCTTAGACTATGCATTACTTCTTTAATTTTAACCTGACAATAGTCAGGTTAAATTTTATTCATCTTTTTTTTATTTACTTTTATTCACAGGTTAAAATTTTTTATTCATCTTTTATTTATCTGCTGTAGGAAAATGCCCTCTTCTTTTTCTGTGGTTTTTTTGTATAAAATTTGAAAATTTTAATGAATTAGAAAAGTAAACTCTAGATTACAGGATGAAACACCGATGGATTTCATTAAAAATGAAGAAATACGAGCAGTATTTGGCAGAATTTCTCATTCGGTTCAAATTGGTATGATTTAATTTGCTCAGAAAAAGACGTGGTGAAATATGAAATTTTGGAGTTAATCAGTTACGAACACCTATTTACTTGACGATGTGTAACGGTTCTCAGACGAATGAATAACATGTTTCGATCGATACATGTTAGAATCAAAAACGTTCGAAATATCACATCATAGTTGAAGATGTATTTTAAGATCAAGTAGCTTAAAATATCCGTTCTAATTCATCGTCTTAACAAATTTATTATGAATTAGGTAGCTTTTTTTAGCGTCTAAAGCTTATGCACCTTGATCAGATGTTCGAATAATAAGTTAAATCTAAGTTTCCTCTAAGTTCTTATGTCCATAAAATAATCCATTTAAATTATAAATGATTCTTGATGAAACATAATATAACTTCCAGAATATTCTTCTCGAAAACTCAAAAAATATTCTGTATTCCTATCAACAACATTACCGAATGTGACGCTCGAATGTGGCAAACTTTTATTCACTCATCTCTCAAAATATGCTGTAAATCTCGAAACTGCCTCACATTTAGTTGTTCAAGCAGTGGAAAATCGAACAGCAGAAATCACTAGTAAGTGCTGTCAAAAAATTTTTTCAGTCCTTAGAGATACCTTCAAAAAGGGGGGCCGTAACGGATCAAAGCAACTAAAATGTTAGGTCTCGTAAGAATTAGAGATGGGAATTGAAAAGAGGAACACTTTTAATATGTGTATGTGGAACTGTGCGAATAAGAAATCTTTCTGTCGATTGCATCTTTTAAGAGATATAATTTAGCTTTTGGATTAGTCAATTTTATTACATTTTCAAATTCAGTGATTTATACGTTTTTTTATTACATTTTCAATTCAGTGATTAATATATTTTTTACAGTTGAAATTCTGGAAGCTATGCTACATGGACAATATATTTTGACGAGTGAATGGTTGAATGCATGCTTGCAAGCAAATGATATCGTAGATGAAGAGATGTATGAAATTATAACAATTAACCGGAATAATCAACTGCTTGCCACAAATTCATGTTCTGTGGCTAGAAGAAATTATGCTGAAATGGTTGGTTTCCTTCTAAGTTGGTTTTTAATTATGATGATAATTTTTGTTAGTGCTATCCCGATAATCTTTAGTGTATTGCTCTTTGAAAAATTTTGCTACTTGTTTGCAGGAACACCTCTCAGATTTCAAGAGAAAAATGGAGATATTAAAGAATTTTCGAGGTTCCATATCAATTTTGCAAACATTTTCGAAGTCATATATTTGCAGAAGCCAGGACTCTTTCGAGGATGTCACTTTTATTTTTGCAAGCACAAATACTTACCATATCGAGAAAGTGAAATCAAAAAACTGGTTCAGTTGGCTGGAGGTGTGATACTTGGAAGGGAACCCAAGGCGGAGGAATATGTCGAAAGTGGGCTGAGACCGTATCACGTACGAAGAAATGAAAATGATGTGAATGAGGTAAGATGCACACTACTATCCACACGACCCTAGAATTCTGAACAAATTTGTAAAGTAGCCTTTAGTTCAGACTTCAAAAATTCAGATTGCAGATAATTCTTTTTATGTGCCGTCGTCCACCATTAAAATTGTCTTCCGATTTTGATTTTATATATTTTTCTGAACACTAATATTTCAGTTATCCGGCTTGTTCGCGGTATACATGCCAGGCCAATCCATGCCACAACGAGTAGTAAAGCAAAAATTCATCAACCTTATCACACCAATTTGGATAATGGAATGTATCGCGCAGTTTACCCTTTTGCGACCCGAAAATTGGTGAAATATTCCCAGAAATACTGAAAATGCTATTCGAATTTTCTCATTCTATCCTTGTTTTATCAGGTACTCATTAGGATCATTAGAAATTAAAGTCAATGGTTTTTATGTTTTTGGAAAACATGGACTTATGGATCTCCTTTTTTGTCCCTTAATTGATAACGCTTTCCTTTTTTCCCGGCATCCTAAAACAGAACCTTCAATTCATTTACTAATCACAATCATTCCACTTTATCTCTATAGTTAGGCTATAGTTTAGCTATAGTTAGGCTCTCCCAATAATGGCTTAAAGGATGTTTTAAACAAGCCCAAGAAATTATTTCCTTGATTTTATGGAATTGTTTGCACTTATGCTCAGACAATACTGCATGACAGAAGTTCCACTTTCTCCCTTTCCTCATCTTGCGAAAAAATGGGCTCCAGTAAAATTCTTTGACTCAAAATTTGAATTTTCAGAAGCTAAAAAACGGTTGTGATATCACAAAATATTTTTTCCATGCAATACTATTAAGTTTCACCGAGTATCATATGCTTTATATCTCCAAAATATAAGAATGAATAGCATGCTAAAGTGCTTTTGTGACCACCTTGGCGTAGAGAAACACAAATTTTACATCACCATTACTTTTGAGTCCTTAAAATTTTAAAAATTCAGCAATAGTACATATATATCAAGATGAAGCGAACTAGCTAAGAGAAATTAAACAAAAGAAAATACACAAAAAATTAAACAAAGTGTGTCTACGCAACAAACATCATATATATATATATGATACAAAAGTAAACATAAGTAAAAAATAAGTTAGAATTGTTGTGCCTGAAGAAGGATTGCATTAAATATACTCAACAAAAAACTCAATAGATTTCAAAATAAATTGTATTCTTTTAATTTCTGAATTCCTTATGTAAATGGTCTCATAAAAAACAAACACTAAAGCCCAAGAAAATGTGGATAGAAACTATTTTCTACTCTATCTCGGGAGTCAGTAACTCAACAACCATTGCGTTTCTTGTCTAAACTCGAGTAATTATTTGGACTAAGCCGGATGTCTCTTAACCTATATACCTAATTTGATATACTTATCAATAATCGGCTGTCTTCATAAATTGTACAATATATTTTTGTCCCAATACTTCAGTATACAAATACCGCTTACCGGAGAGCGCTAAATTTTAAATTTAATTTGGAATTGGGATATAGAATCCGAGGTTTCTGAAACATTGACCCGGCAAAAGATCTTGCCAAGGAAGCAAAAAAAAATACTGAAACAATGCGAGCGACACGAACATAATGAAAGCAAGAAAAGGGAAGGAGAAGTATTTCACCAAAGTGACATATCGTGTAAGCCATCTTCATTGAACACTTTGAAATATATCCAAACCGCACCAAAACAAACAACATTGGCGAGAAAGACGAAAAAATACGACAGGCCGGGTATCTGCAATCGGTGAAAATCGTTACCCAATGACAGAAAAGAATCGAAGCATATGTTTGAAAAATAAATAAATCACAAATCTAACAATTCAATTATTTAGTATTTAAGAAAAGTGCGAGTGATTTTTTAGAAATATCCGGAAAGACATGCGTAGCATTAATATAGTCATATAAGTGCTTCACATTGATAAGGTGTGGTGTTGCAAAGCAATTTCATGGACATTTTTCCAAAGTTTTGGTTCCAATTGTAACCTATTACAATTTGAATTTTAAAAAAAGTGTCGTGTTCAAAAAGGAGAACAAAATAGCTTAATTCTCATGTCTTTATTCATTCTAATCTAATTTCGAATTCTAAATGTGGATAATATTTTTCGATTCAAATTCTTTTTTGATAGAAAAATGCACCATCTAATTTCCAAATAGTGGTACCTCACTTCACTCATTTTATTACTTCGAAAGTAACAAAAAATTAAACAAAAATATGATGGAATTGCCAAGTCATATCAAATTTCTAAAGATAAAATATTCTAAAATATTGCGAACATCGAAACTGTGTGAAATACGCATGTTTTCTTATCAATTAGTAAGCTTAACGCAAAGAAAAAATTTTCAATCATTTGAACTGCCATTTACATTAAATCAAGAGACATTTCAAAACTTTGCTCACAGCTAAAACGAAGTCCCTTAAAATAGCTAAAAGTCAAAGAAAGAAGAAGCAAACTCATGCATCCATTGATAAATGATTCTATATCAGGCCAGTATTTGAATCACTAAACAAGCTATATTCCTAACCTATGAATTCGTTGAAAATATCTTTTTGATAGCATTTTACTTTTTTAATAAATCAAAAATCAAAAAAATATCCAAATATTAAAGCTATTATTTTTTAGGACTTTACCATTAAAAAGTCTTGCAAATGAAAATTACAACATGCATTACCGCTGCCCACTTAATATAATCGATTTCCACAATGAATTTCCAAAGTATCAATCAGAAGAGCGTTTGGTTCCATCCACTTCCATCGTCTTCTCGATGTAAATAAAAATAACTAAGGATCGTCAAAAACATCACCATAGAACCAAGATTTGCGCATAAACATGCCAACCATTTGATCTAAATTAAAGAAAGTATCACGCGCACAACAACAACTACTACAAGAATAGGATCATAACAAGGAAACGAAATACATTTGATATATTCATATTTTCAATTCGAACAAATTTCAATTTAAGAAAATAATCGAAAATATATCTCTAACAAATAACCTGCTATTTGGCTAATTATTAAATGGATGTTTACCGAGGGTAACATATATTTACGAGATAGGAGCACTCACCGTTCTCAATACAAGAGATATAAACTATTATCGGGACAGATAATCCTCTATTTGTCTACAATAATTCAGAAAATATGTCTCAGACGGACCGTGCAAAACTTTCTTTTTTGGAAAAAAAAACAGATTCTTGAACCATATTCTTAAATTTTCAGCTAACTTCAAACTATTTGTATCAACTACATTTCTATCAAAATACTTATGACTAATCAGTCAATATTTCAAAAAAGAAACATGTTACATGCAAAACCATGCATTTCAACAACTAAAGAATCACCAGACATGCAAAGTTTTTGAAAACCATATTCCAAAAAAAAATAAAAATGGTATGAAATACTTCATTATTAAATGAACCCTCTATAAAGTGAAATTTCCAGTACATCTCTTTGCTTCCGATAATTAATAATAACTGTAAGATGCAAGATAAGTTCATAAAAACATACTACTCCAGCATGTGCAAGAACCATCGGCAATGCAAATGCTGATACGACAATGCCAGTCGTTATGAACAATGCAAACTCAATACATGCTGAAGTACCAGTCATATCAACGTGAGATCGTCGAGCTATTGATAATGGTATTGGAGCCAATACATAAAAGATCACGACGAACAATGGCCACCAAATACTAAACAAAAGTTTTATCTAGTAAATTGTCAAATTTGTCTACAATAAAGTTTTCTTGCTCTGATTAATTTCGTTAGTTTTATATTGCGAATAAAGAACAAGCAAAAAAAACATGTGTAAAGAACTGTATTGAATTTATTTTCTTACCCAAACATTGGCAACGCACATCCTAGAACAAGCAGCGTAAGACCAACCACACCAGATAACGCCAAGAGTACAACCGCTAAAATAATACCATTTTCTTCTACAAACAACAACACGAACTGTTTCATGGTAAGGATATTGTAAGAAATGACTATATTTCTGGTTGTTCCGCACTTTTTAATGTTTTACGGATTACTTGTTATTAATGCAAGAAAGGAAAAACCAAAAACAATAAGACGGAAGATAAGGAATGCTGACATGAAACAAGTAAACGATACAATTTTATGTCTTTGATCAATACTTTCTTCTAGGAATTCCATATATTATGCTCAAACGAAAATGTAGTGGATCTCTGCTGTCAGCATCACTTCTTTTCAGTAAGAGTGGTACTATTACTGTTACAAGGTTACTATCAACGTTATTAACTTCAAAAGTACAACTGCTAAAGAGTTATTACTGTCACAGAACGATTGTCACTAGCAAGTCTAATGGAAAAGAAGCATTAGCTTGAGTATTACCTCTGACCCCCGTCATTAATCAGTATCGTTGAATCTCTTAAGTAAGCAAAAACAATCACGGTACACCCGTTTGATCGATATCTGCAACAAATGTACCAATAATCACTTTTCTTGCTTCTTTCAGAATTATTTAATCCTGAAGGATTTATTTGAAACTTGAAAGTACGATTAAGTTATAACTTGACCACATAGTATTTTAAAATATGATAATGACCATTTAGCAGAATTCTTTTTTTTCATCAGCTTTATTCAAACCTTTGTTTAATATGAGAAATTGATTAACTGACACTGATTAACTAACAATCAGACCCAGTCAAAAATACATTTCCTGGAATCAAAACCACTGTCTTTAATATCTCCATCAGCTTAACTATGAATGGTTGTATCAAACTTTGAAGATTTGCAAACAGACTAAAATTTAATACAACTCTAAGCATCAAGTAAGTATTGACGTCTTACACAACTTCCAAAATAAATCCTAATGCATTTTTGCATTTATGTTTATGCTTATGCCTGTATACAATCCTAGTACCTTTCCAGTCATTCTTATTATATCTTTCAGTAAATTCTAATGTCCCTCAAACTAACACTCCTTCATAACAATCCGGACGGATTTCATCCTGACGTGCCCTCACGTAGTGGTCAATATCTGTCCATGCTTCTCATCCATTCATACCAGCGTGTACCGACCATGACGAATATTAGCGGGATCAATTAAGATGACCACATGCGCATCCGAATTTTGTGTTGCACGAAGAATTCAGAGCTAAGGAGGGGTGGAGTTACGAGGGCGAGGATTATGGGGGCCAGTTGCATAACCGTTCATGGGAGGTTAGAGACGGGTTCTCAAGTTAAGCATCAGTAAATCTCAAGAGAGTATAAAGCCTGTAGTGCCGAAAAATTAATAAAATTTCACATTTACGAAATTTAAAACTGCTACCCGATTCAAATTTAATTTGGTTTGTAAAAATTTTGAAACCCATATATGTATGCTCGTATGTGGATGCAGAATTTTTGCGATTTATTTAGTGTGCCTCGCGGTTGAGAAAAGCATATAAATTGCAAAATATCGGATCGTTTTAGAAACAAAAACTTTGTTTTTAAGTATATTTTGGCATAAAACCTATATTTTGAAAAAGTTTATGGCTGACTGATTACGAATAACTTTTGTTCTTACTAACAATTTAATATTCATTTTGCAAAACTGTAGATCATTTACATGTTAAGAATTTTTCATTTCACAGTTTATCTTGTGCAAATGATTAAGAATTGTGCAGTTTATAGCTTGAATGAAATGAGTGACAGCGATACACCACCGGTACTTACAAAGCAAGCTACGTGTGGTGTCACTACGACTGCAGACAATTCAACATCGATCGTAACGTGTACAGGTACTACTACATTGGTATCTAACAGTAATGATTCCTTTATCAAAACAACAACCATTGCTACATCTTCATCTTCTGTTTCCGATTCAACGCAGGTCACTTCAGGTTGTGATTCATTTCATATAACTTGTAATTATTTTAATTTGGAGTCATCCAATATCAGCCTGTACTTTCTCTGTAGATTGTTGTCCGCATTCTTTGGATTTTAATTAATTCAATTTGGGCATAATACAAATCTACCAAGATTGCAAATAATTTTTAAATTTCAAACTATTAAAATTCGACGTCATTTTGTCTTTTCTTTAGTTAAGACTATTCATAATATTTCATTCGGTTCAAGTTCCATTTGCTGGCTCGAATTTATGTTTAGTATAGTTCTGTATGTCTTTGCAGCAATTATTATATATAAACAGTTATAGGATAGTTCAAACTTATTTACGTTTCAGCCTCTTCTAACACATGTGTGTCATCATCGAGTAAAAATGCAACATCAGATAGCAGAAATTCAACTAATGTTATCGCTGGCGATAGTGGAACAGCAGCAACAGCGACAACAACATCAGCAAGTAGTAGCAATGCAGAGACGACTTCTTCAACATCGTCAACACCACAACCAGCGCCAAAAAGTCGTCGTAAGCCAACATCTCGTGCAAAAAAAGATACTGCCGACAAAACAAAGTAAGGTTTCAACATTTTGATTTTAAAGTTGGTAATATGGAGTTGCAGCAGTTTTGTTAGCGAAAAGTGATATACCTTGAACATCATTGATCATGAAGTGCATTTGAAAGAAGAGAGCGGAAAAAATTTTAAAGAGATTCACTTGCTGCTATATCCGCTATATAATCCCATTACTCCTTTGCTCTTTAAATGATTCGGTCTTAATAATATGGTATGGATTAGAAACACCATGTAGCATTTCACATAAGGTGTATTTTGCAATACATTGAAGAGCCTTTTGGTACTTACGCTGACGAATAAGATTTTTAGTTGAGTAATTAAAGAAAAGCTGGTACAGCTATCCATTAATTAGAACACCAATGCTTTGTAAAGTTTACACAGTTTTGAATTTAATTCAGACTAAATGAACGGCTGAATTTAGTTGGGCTCATATTTCAAAGTCGTTTTGTTTTTTTTTATGAGCTAGATTTTCCTTTTTTCAGAGCTCCTACTACAGCCGTTAATTCATCTGCCGCGCAAATGGTTCCACAAGCACCGTTAATGCTAACTTCTGCTTCGGTAATTTCCTTATGTTTTGTGAATAAATTTTTGCATTTTTCGTATGCCCATTCTAAGCAAATATATTTTCCATTAATTTCAGATAAATTTAGTTCACTTGTGCAAATTTTTTGAATATTTTTTGTTTTTTATATCCAAGAAATAATAGCGTGTATGACAACATTATACTAATGTGAAGATTCTATTCGTTTATTTAGTCTCTCGCTAACTAATACACAGGACATCAATAGTTTGAATTATTTTGCATTTTTGAATTATCTTGGCATAAGGAAGTAGGAGTATAGACCGGGATTTTGATTGTTTATTAGTAAAGTTTCTATAATATTCAGCCTGGGCAATTCATGCTTGTTCATCATAATGGCCAGTGCTACATGATGTCAGCAACGCAATATTTTAGTGCAAACCAACAAATTGCTGCTGTTAGACCGGTAATTTCAGAAATAGTAATTTTCTAATGACCAGAATTGGTATTTTTTTATTGCTTGATATATACACACTGTACCACTTTCGTTTTCAATTTCTGCACGGCTTTTGTTAATCTGCATTTTTTTTATTTCTAGTTCATTTATATTTAATTGTTTATAAAGCAAGCTCTAACGTGTAATTCCATCTGCAATTTATAATTCTTTCTCACTCTTCCTCTTGTCCACCTTTTTCCTCTTTTTTTTATTAATTTGGTCTCCACATCATTTGCAGCAGCAGCAACAATTTTCTGCACCAACAACACCATGCCCTAGCATCATTACCACTTCGGCACAATATTTCTTCAAAGTGGTACAACGGCAACAAGTACAATCGGTTCAAAATTCGACAAGTACAGCGTCTGCCGCCCAATAGTTCTACTCACACCAACAATATCGTCATACGCATCCGGCATGGATTTGATTTTTTCTTTTTTTGTTTCATTTCCATCATCATTTGCATGCTTTTTTTCATTTCTCATTATTATTTACGACCAAATTTATAGTTTTAATACTTTAATTAAGAGTTTTCCGTTTTCATAAACGTAAATGCTACTTACTCCTTTTTTCCTCTCTTAGTAATAAGCGGTACTGAAAATGCTGGAAATAAAATTGGGAGCAAAAGTGGTAGTTTGCGCTATATTTACGTTCTAGAACGGTTATTTGTATAATTTCCATCTGTTTGCATAAATCTACATGGATAAAAAGAATGCATACATTGGTAAAAAGTTTTTGATTTCTCTTGATTTTCGATCAGTGTCAGTTTTTGAAGATTTTGATTTCCTCTGCTGAATCACTTGTTTTTATACCATGTGAACATCATTTTTATGGATCGTGAACTTTTGTGTTGAAATTATTCTGCTTCGCTTTCAACTTGTTCTTATTCTTTGTCACCCAAATACTTCTTTTTTTGATTTTTGGTACAGTCGTGTTATCTTTTTGACTTTTGAATTTTCTCAGAAGGATATTAAATTTTTGGGAAATCTTGAAAGCTTATTATCTTATTATCCTAGTTAAAAATCTAATCTTGTGATAACTTTTTTACAGATGTCCTCACAGCAGCAATATGTACAGCCAAGTTTTGTAGCTAATAGCTCAACACTGGGACAACTTGCACGAAATCTAGCTCCAAAACCATTACCAGGATCAGGATCAGGTATCGTCCTACACTATTTTTAATGTCTCACTATCAAATTGTATATGAAAGTATATGAAAGTAGAATCATGTACCTGTAAGTATAGAATTATTGCTAGTTCTATTACAGAATTTGTATTTTACATTGGATAGGTCGAGTTCAGGATTCTAAATACATTAAATGAGATTGATAGTTATGTCTTTATTTATTATACAGAGAGAGTTATATTGAAAAAACTTTGGATGATTTGATAGAAATGTCATTAACTTGATGATTTTATGCATTATTTTTGTCAGCGCATGTAGTCTTCTACTATTTGGATATTGAAAAATGATATATAATAAAGTAAAATGGCTTTAATCAGTATTATAGTTCTTATTAATCCTCCCATGTAAATTAATATTTATGCAAAAGGAAATACTCTGATTGTTGTTAGTGAAACTCAAATTTATTATTAAAAACGTAAAGTTGTAATATCTATCGACGTTCAAGAAAGTGGTTAAAAAAGAATTTTTAGTTGCTGTAGTAGCTACCAGTACACATATACCATCAACTACAGTAACAACAACGGTTACCACAACAACATCGTCATTTGCTGTTGGACAGGGCAATGATACATCCTTGGGACGATCAGCGCAGCAGCAACAATCCCCTCAGCAGTTGGGAACCGCATCAGTGCAGCAAATGCAACCATCAATGTTTTCCCAAGGTATACTTGTAAATGCATTATCAATTAGTTTCCTAATTCGTTCTGATATATTCTTCGATTTGTAATGGCTAATTTCTTTTTATCATGTTCGCTTTTCAAATTGTTAACTGCTTTAATTTATGTTTCACGTTAGAAGAAATATTTAAGATATATCCGCTCTGCTAAATAACTGATCTTATTTAGCAGTTCCAGTATATCTCAGAAATTCATTTGTAGGAATTCAACTCCGTGCACCACCAGGTTCATCAGGTATTGTCTTCCAGATGCCATCCGGGGCATACACATATGTGCATCGTAAGTCCAATTTGATTTTTTATCTTTTTTTTCAATTTGTTATGCGCTGTTCTCAAGTGTTCTTTTTTGTATTCTGGCAAGGTTGTAGAATTTGAATTTGAATTAATGGTTGAAATTCAGAGTTGGTTACTCCTCAGCAGCGCACCTCTATTGCGATACCTCATCAACAGCCAATTCCAGCTTGTATTGGACAAGCAGTGGCAACAAGTCAGCCGCAGAATCAGCAACCGCAGCAACCTTCTCCTGCTAGTTCACCTACTCAGAAAGCCATTACTTCAGCTACTGCTGAATCAAAAAATAAGCAAACATCAAACAATATTAGCAAAGAATCACCAACCATAGAACGAAGAGAGAGCAATGGTTCTCCAACTACTGACAGAGGTTTTATATGTTTGATATGCTCTTAAATCAATTTCAATTAGTAGAATGAATCAAGTCTGAATTAAATATTCAAAGTAGTGGATTTTATTCAAATGGTTTTATTCCTTTTCAGAAGGCCTTGAAATTGGATATGTGATGAAAGACTACTTAGTGACGTCGGGTGTTTTTTTCTGAAATTTAAATCAGAATTTCAGAGTTTCATCGAGAATATTTTCCTGATCAATTCTTCATTAAGAAAGCTTGATAGTTCCGCACAGCTTTTAATACCTATATTCGGAATCATATTCTTTGCTTAATATATTACTTAGTAAAATTCATTTGTAAGTTTTTAACATGAGGGAAGAGGGTCAACCGTTAGCGCAAATGATTTCAGTCCCGAATAAGTCTCCAACAGGTCATGTCAAAGGTAATGAAACTTTATCAAAGAATATCAGAGGAGCTACTAAACATTCAGGAAGTGGACGAAAGACAGGGGCAATGAAAAGTTAGTTTATTGCTTGATTTTTAATTAAATGTATTGATCATTTTATTACTTATGTTTTCTTGATGAAACAGTAAATCTTAAAAGTTTCATTTTGTTCATAATTTAATTTCCCCGCTTATACTTATGTGTTCGTTTGCTAATGCGTTTTTAAGTTAAAAACGGAATATAGCTGAACTCTTGCAACTATAGAAATTTAAGGAAAATAGATGGAAAATGGTTAAGAAGGAATTATGTATGAAAATTCAATATAATCAATTAGGTTTTTTTTATAGTTGCAACACCTCAGCCAATAGCTCCTACAAATTTGGTGCCAGTTGGTGCGCCAGTTCCAATGATGGTCATGTCTGCTCCAATGCCTCAGCTAAGTTCCTTTGGGGGACATGCAGTACCTTTCATGGGACCAAATGGACAAATTATACATCAACAATTAATTGCAAATCCACCCGTTCCAACACACCAAATGATACCTGTATTTCAACAGCAACAACAAAATGCTGCTCATTTTCCAATTTCCCAATCGGCGCAAACTCAAATCCAAGGTTTTTCTCCTTAAATTCTTCTTCATTTGCATTTGCCTAATATCTATGGTTCCAGCAATTTTTATGATTTTTGATCTAGATTTCATCCTTTGAAGTTTCGTTGTTATATTTTTTCGAAAAATCAAGTTTTCGTGATCTTAGATCTACCAGATTTCCACAGCTTTGTTATTACCAAAGTTTTATCGCTGCTATGAAAACAATTTTATGGTAGTTAAAAGAGATTTATAGACACAGCTTCCAATGATTCTCAGAAATCGGTTGCGGATGATGACAACGGTTATGTTGATTCCGGGATCGAAAATGAGCCTCCACCGCTTCTTGTTCAGGGTTATTTCTTTGCTTTTTTTTATTTCCATAAATTAGATGTGATAGAAAAAAGTACTTGTATTCAGGGAGTCTTAGTTTCTGGTAGGGCGTATCGCTGATGAATTTTTTTGATTTATCAACTGTGAAAAATGTCTTCACTTCGTATTTTGTTAGCAGATTAAATTCGGAATCTTACAGAGAAGGCAAGGTGATGATGTTCCTAATATTCGGAGAAGTATTTTCTAGGGAATTTAAATTAGTAATACTTATATTAAATTTATATCATAAGCTATAATATGGAATTACTTTATTTCTTATTTATTATTTACCGATATTTACTGAATTTTATCCACGAAGCAATTTTAATCGTTGAATTTCAGGGGAATCAAAAGATGCACTCGATATTCATATGATGTTCACGAGGGAAGCCGAAAGATATTATCAGAAAACAGGACGAAAAGGCAAAATTATTCATTTGATCGAAGGATTTGAAATTGAGGTAACACAATCATCCGGAAAATATTTATTTTGCAAGAATTTGACGGTATTAGGAAACAGTCTATATTTTCAGGAATCAGACGAGCCATTTCCATGTGATCCACCTTGCCGTTTAAGTGATTGGCTTTTATCCGAAATAGAAGATAAGAATGGGAGGAAGGTATCCAAAGAACGTAGATGGAGTATATGTACGTTTAGTATATGTACATTACGTATGTACGTTTATAATAATAGAAACCAAATTTAAATGATGAAACAAATCAAGAGTTGGTTTTTAGTTCTATTATTCTGGATTATTTCTTGGTTGTAATGACCAAAGTAAATATTACGAGCACTTTTGAAAATCCATAATGAAAGTAATAAAGGGCAGATACATAATTCCAGATGCCTTGGAAATTTTCAGCGATTTTAACTCATTTGGTACTGTCAGAATTCCAAGTTTGAAAATTAAAATTTAAAAGTTATTTTTCAGCGGCTAGGAAACTAATTAGTGAGAGGGATAAAGAATCACTGTTAGAAATAAATGCCGAAAAAGTGGAGGTCAAAAAGGGACGTGCAAAGTAAGAATATTTCAAATCATTCGATCTTATAATGTGTCATTTGTTGTCGCGTACTCTTCGAAAATTATAAACTATCATCTATTTTTGCATGTAGCATTCGAACAGAAGTGGTAATGATAGTTTTTTATTGTTCGTAGATAAGCTTTGTGTCATATCAAAATTTTATGCAAATATCGAACGTTAAAATTCTGCCGAATTTGCAGAGCATCTCCAACAAAATCTGAAACATCTAGTGAAAAAGCAGAAAAGAAAACTCGTAAACGTAAAACAAACGAGGTTTGCTTATTTTTACTTTTTTCTCCAGTATTGTTACTATGGTTTTAACTTGGGCTTAAATTTGGAAATCGTGAAAGAATTAACAATGAAGCGGCATCGGTTAACAACCTTCAAGCGACAAAGGCCTGACTGTACTGGGCAAAGCAATGTCGATAATATAAGATGAAGGCATTACAGTGAAAAAATAAGTGAATAGAAACAAAAGATTTCAGTAAATCAGCTTTTTTTTCAGCTTGATCGATTGCTACAAATGGATTTTGGACCATCACATGGACGTCTTTCTGATATTATGCAAAAATCCGTTTATAAACCAAGCAAAGAAACGCTGGCTTCCTCTCCACTACCTCCACCAACAAAGGGCTGTTTGACGAAGCCAAAGGGTCGACCACCTTCATCTGTAGATAAGCAAAAATTAGAAAAAACTGAAATAAGTGAACCGGTAATGGAAAGATTCATTATTGAGGATGCAGCAGATATGTCGCCGAAAACCGTAACCAAGAAATGCGAAGGTACTTCTTGCTTTTTGTTCAAAATATTTCCACTTTATTTCTAGCCAGCGATAATTTTGTGGATAATATGGAAATTTGTTAATCTGCGATTAACTAGGTTGGTCATTCAATCTAATCAGTAGGTCATAACATGAATGGCTTGATCAATATAGCAAATAATACTATAGCTGACTATTGTCAAAATAAATATTTACGAGCTCTCATTGATAATGATTTGATAATTTTGATGTGGACATGGAAAGTTCTGAGCTTTAACCATCTTTGAAATATATTTCAAATTTAATTTCATTGAAAATTTGATATTTGTTTGTTAGCGTAAGACTTCTTAGAAAGCCCAGCAACTGCGGATCAGTCGCTGAATTCTTCGAAAAGTAGTGCCGATACAGCGAATGGAAGTTTGTTAGTCAATTTTTCGGATGAAGAGCTCGACACGGAAAGATGTAATTATTGCAATGGTTTGCTGCGTCTTAAACGTCTGGAAAATCATCCACAATATTGCTCGAAGAAATGTCGCAAATTATGGAAAAAAAATCCAACAATCAGTGAAGAGCAAGGTTTGATTTCGTCAGTCTGTTGAGCAGGTTTTGCCAGAAAGACTAGATTAATATTATTAGTGTTTTCTAATTGTTAATTGGAGTATGAGACATATTTGAAACCATAATTGATAACTGTCTTTCACTTCTTGTTAAAAGTTTGAAGTAGTTTTCAGAACTGATTTGTAACAAAGAATCGACTTTATCCGAAAGACTAAAGTTTATTTCATTTAAAAGCAAAATAAATTTTGCTTGATGAAAACAGGAAGTGATGTTTAGATTGTTATTTCTTCCTGTTTTTACTCTTTCGAAGAATTCGAATCTTTTTTCGAGAAATTTCGTTTTAATGATTGGTTAAACTTTCTCTGATTGATTATCGCTGATTTTTTTTGTAGTTGGACGCTCGTTCAATGCATCACCGCGACTACCGGTTATTCGTTCAACAAATACATCGCCCATTAATAAAGATATCAGTCCTACAGTAACGGTGCAAAATCTTAGCATAATTTCAGAACCATCCTCTTCAGGTTCTTCAGAATTTTTCGTGTATCATTCATATCATTGTTTTATATGCCTATTGAATTTGTTTTATGGAAATGGGATAAGACCTCACAGGATGCAGAAATATTTCCGCATGTCATTCGACGAAAATCAGGCTGTCCAAATTATTAACATTCTAACCAATTGATGTTTGTCTCGAAACAAAATATTTAAAAAATGTCTAAAAGATTGTGCTTTATCGTCAATTTTTATTAAGAGCTTTCCGACATAAAGTACGCTATATTTTTAAAAAATATATAATGAATGACTTGAATGGCAGCGAGTGGAATTCATTTAAAATTTTGAGGTAGTACCATTGATATGCAGCAACGAACACCTCCAATCTTAACGCTGAAAATGGTTTCACCTGAACAGGCAGAAATCGTGAAATCTCCTCGTGGTTTGTCCACTTCTTACTCGCTAGGTGAATGCAGTAAAATGCCTTCGACATCGATCTCTCCAGCTATGGCTATAGCTCCAACAGTTGAACATCCACCGATGGATTTCCTTTCCAGGCCAACAAAAACATGGACTGTAAGTAGTTTTTCTTATGAATAGTGAATGATAGAATTACCGCATTTCGTAATCTCGTTTCACTTTTAGGTTTAAAGCAAATATTTATACTGCTGCCATGCACTGCGTTATATTTGTTAAACACTCATTTGTTATATAACTTTTTTATTTTTAATTGCTTTCTATAGCTATCACTTGACCTATCCTAAATGCTTGAAGAACAAATGGATTTTTATCTTCTTCTGCATATTTGAAGATTGTTAGATAAGGAACTAGAAAAATGGTTTCAATCATTTGTATAATAAATACTTTGCAAACGATGACAATTGGTTTGTATACCTAGAAGAAAGGGATTGGTTAACGGATCAGTTTTCTGGGATATTATGGATCTGTTTTTGTATCTATGCTAATGTCGAATCTTATCAGCGGCATACAGCTCAAGAAATTAAGTTTGGGTGTAATTGCATTGTTTAAATTTAAGCACATACTTTCTCCTTGTTCTAGTGCGATGAAGTGGCAAGCTGGGTATCATCAGTGACCGGCAATGAGGATTGTGCGAATACTTTCCGTAATCAGGATATCGACGGCCAGTCTTTGTTGTTATTGCCGGATAATGCTCATAATAACTTAGTAACGCTATTGGGATTGAAACTTGGCCCAGTGGTAAAAATTCTAAATGCACTTAAAGAATTATCCAATAAAAATATCAATGTTACATAATGACATCTTAATTTGTTATGTACATATAAAAGTTTTAGCTATGTGAGATTATTCATTTTTGAATTTTAAAAGTTTATGTCAAAATATTCTACTGACTTTTATCTGAATACTAATGAAACTTTATTGAAAGTATGGGCTATGTAAAATTGGATCGTTTTTACATCAGTCATTTTATTTGTCAGTTTGTCGTGTCGTGTGTTTCTTCCTGCTATGTTTATTCTAACATGAATTTTGATTTCAAAATCTGTTTTGCGTTATTGGATTATTGTTGTGTAAATTTGGAGTAGTAGGATTCTTGGTTTTATATGTTTCTTTGGAGAATTATTCAATTCTCACATCAAAAAATATGAGATTACTATTTATCACATCAAGAAATTCTTTATAATCAAATTTAAAAATTACCTGGAGCGGATAGAAATCTTATTGATTTTCTGGAATTCATGTTCCACTGATCCTACTAGGTTATATCTAGAACAGAAACTATTTTGTATCTTTTTTGAAATCATATTTGAACATTTGTTATAATCAATACATGCGTTTCCTGCATTATATTTACCTCATTAGTATGGAGTTTTATTTTAACTACTGAATTTTGAGGTTCGCAAAAATTTTAGTGATTCTTTCAAGCAGATGGTAAAAGAGTTTTACCGAAGATCTGCTATACATAATTTGTTTTATTTCCTGTTCTATGAAAACTATAAATTTTACTTCCATACATCATTTGGAAGTCCTACCTTTTTTATTCTTTTATCCTAGTTTTATTGTTGTTGTTATTTCCTAATCAAATATATGACTAAACAGCTTCGAAAGATGGAAAGTATGAGTTGATAGCATTGAAACTTTGATTTAATGCTTACATTTCCCGTATTTATTTTGTACTTATGTTACTCCAATAAATCTAAAAAACCTTTGTATTTTACTCTATCTGGAATGGTGTCCTTCAAACTTTAATTAAACGAAATTATAGAATCCTTTCTGCTTTTCACTATGGCCTGGTGGATGATTCGGGTAATGCAATTGTAAGTGCAATTCAGTAGAAAAATACAAGTAATATGCGATAAGTTTGGGTTCGGATTAAGAAGTTTCGAATTAAAAAAAAATGAGTTGCAGAATCTTCGTTACAAGATGATCTTTGAGAAGAAAACTGGAGACTGAAGGAAGTGATAGGAATTCTGTATCATGCGTGTCAATTTCGCTCTTTGATAATTTCGCGAGAAGCATTTCCCCCTTGATGTTTATTCATGATTTGTAGCAAATTGTTTTATGTGGTTTTATTGAAATCTGATGCAAGCAATCGGAACAGTGACTGCTTCTCATTAAGCTCCAAATGTCAGCAATATTCTGACTGTATTGGACAAATTCAGTTACAGAAAAATCGGGGATATTTTTTAAGGCATTATTCAAATTACGGGAGTAACAAACATAGTCGGGAAGGAAGTCATCCTTGGGGTTCCAGAATTTGAAGCAAAAACAAGAAATTTCACGGAGTTGTGCAAATCAGAAGAAAAAATAGAACACGCAGTTACAGTAGCAAATGCTATAGAATATAATGAAGAAGCAACTAATTCAAGCGATGTATTTCAACGAATTACAGTTCAAGGGACAGTTGAGCAGTGCACGAAAATCATTACTGATGAGGTTGAACCTCAGATTGACGTCGATGCACAGTCTGCTTCAA